AATTTTTGGCATTTTTAATAGAGATGGGGTTTCACCATGTTGGCCAGGCTGGTCTTGAACTCATAACCTCAGATGGTCTGCCCACCTCGGCCTCCCAAAATGCTGGGATTACAGGTGCCCAGCAAGTCCCTATACTTTCTAAAGTCTCTGGGGACCTTCTTGGCTCTGTTGGGGTTCACCAAGTCAAATTCCTTGATAGCTTTTAGTCTTTCTTGGGCCCCTAGAGAAAAAGGAAGAGTATTGTTGAGGTGTTCCTCATATTTTCGATTCCATATTGGAGCTGGAGATCAAAACTGGGACTTCGAGAAGAGAATTGCAGTGGAATCTCAGGGTTCTCAGAAGGACCCCCCCCCCAAAAAAAATCAAGAAATATTATCGCATCACTATGCCCAGCTAATTTTTTCGTATTTTTAATAGAGATGAGTTTCACCATGTTGGCCAGGTTGGTCTCGAACCCCTGACCTCAAGTGATCCATCCACTCAGCCTCCCAAAGTGCTGGGATTACAGGCGTGAGCCACCATGCCCAGCCTCATAATACCTATCTTAAAGAGCTGCAGCAAAGACGATGTGGCGGACCTTGGCAGGAGTGGGACTGTTGTTCTTGTTCCTTCTATTCCATTCCAAACCATCCTATCCCTTGTACATATCTTGTAAGGACGCTGTGTGAAACAGGGTCGGTCATTGCAGCTCCTGCAGAAAAGAATGAACAATCACACAAGACATTGCCACGAGTTCCTAGGACAGATCAGTCAATCAAGCATAGTCTGTCTGTGGGCCTTACCCTTATCTCTGAAGTGGGTTCTTTTCGTTGCAAGGGATAGGGACTTACTCAAGATAGGTCTGTGGGCAAAAAGGAGGCATTCTTGTGGAAATCTAAGAGGAGACGGCAAAATAGGACCAAACTGCATGGCACTGGAGGTGGAGGGTGGACCAGCACCAGGATCTCTGCAACAGATTTTCCCTAAAGTGCTCCCCAGGAGATGTTACACAAATTGTCCTTGAGGTCGGTTTCTCTGTGTCTGCCTACTTCTCTTCTGGCTAAAACCTGACTTTCTCTTTGTATACTGTGTCTTTTTTCTGCCTCATGCTATTTGCTGACTTCTCACTTGGTTCACTTAATTGCTAATTGTGGCCCCTCCAGCCTCTCTCACACTTGCATCCTAAGCTTCTGTAAAGTGCCTGATTTTATCTACTTTCCCCAATTTACATTCCGAAGAGTAGTATTGGGTTGGTCTCGGCTTCCTTATTACCGCAGGTCTTTCCCTGGGCTACATTGTAAGCCTCTGTCTGCCCTGGGGTCAAGTGTCCACATAGTTTTTAATCACAGAGAGGTGAAAAGAGGAGTTAGGGGTTTGGAGGAAGCCAGATGGCTGCACGTGGAGTTCAGAGCATGGCTGCCTGGAGCAGGGGGCTGCAGAAGATAGTTTCCTAGAGAGTGGAGTTGGCTATGCATGTGGCAGACATGCCATGATTGTCGTATCTAATAGACACGTTGAATTTTGAGTTGTTCATTGTCTGGTTTGTAGCCTTGTCCAAATTGTGTAGTTTTTACCATATGAGAATGGGAGGATCAGAGAGGTAGAGTGACCTGCCCAGGGTCACACAGTAAGTGGTAGAGCAGGAATTAGGATTTAATTCAGTGTTTTTTCTAGTATGTTACATATAAATATATTAAAAAATTACTGATGGCCTACTCTGGGCCAAAGCTATTCCAGGCATGAGAACAAACCACACTAAAATCCTTGCCCCTGTGGATCTAATATTCTAGCGAGGGAAGAATGACAGTAATAAAATCATTTTAAAAAGCAAATTATATAGTATGTTAGAAAGTTCCAGGTGAAGACAAAAAAGAAAATTAAAAAAAAAGAAAAAAGAAAGTGACAAGTGTTATGAAAAAAATAAGAATGGGGGATTAGGGATGGTTCAGTGGCTTATGCCTGTAATCCCAGCCCTTTGGAATGCCGAGATGGGCGGATCACTTGAGGCCCAGAGTTTGAGACTCACCTGGCCAACGTGGTGAAACCCATCTCTACTAAAAATACGAAATTAGCCGGACGTGGTGGTGCATGTCTGTAATCCCAGCTACTTGGGAGCCTGAGGCAGGAGAATCACTTGAACAGGAAGGCGGAGGTTGCAGTGAGCCAAGATCGCTTCTGTACTCCAGCCTGGGTAACAAAGTGAGACTCCATCTCAAAAAATAAAAATAAAAATATATACCTTGTCCCCAAAGAGCCAGTTTTTGGCCAGGTGCGGTGGCTCACACCTGTAATCCCAGCACTTTGGGAGCCCGAGGCAGGTGGATCACCTGAGTTCAGAAGTTCAAGACCAGGCTGGCCAACATAGTGAAATCCCATCTCTACTAACACAAAAATTAGTCAGATGTGGTGGTGTGTGGCTGTAATTCTAGCTACTCCAGAGGCTGAAGCAAGAGAATCACTTGAACCTGAAAGGCAGAGGTTGCAGTGAGCCAAGATTGTGCCATTGTACTCCAGCCTGGGCAATAAGAGCAAAACTCTGTCTCCGAAAAAAATAAAGAGTGAGGGGATTAGGAGTGCTGGGGGGAATTATAATTTAAAATAGGGAGTTTATTGTAGGTCTCAATGTGATGGTGAGAGAGTGTGTTTACCTCAACTCACTTCAAGCTTCCTGAGAATAGACTATGCATCTTCCTTCTTCTCCTGACCCTGTGCCTTGGCTGTGATGAGTATGAAATAACCGTTAGTTGATCTGAATGCTACAGGAATGTTTTGAAAGTTGGGGAAGACAAGAAAAGCCTTTAAGTTGATACTGGTCTCCTCTTGTGTAACTTCCCTGCCCTTTGTGAAGAGCAGCATGCTTCATGAAGCCCCCCATATTGTTTGAGTCATTGTAGAAATGTGCCTTTCAACATTCCTAAAATCATTAGACCATGAAATGCCTTGTGAGGGCTCTTGATATGAAGTTGTGGCCAGAAATTTAATTAACGGGGAAAACACAAGCTAAGCATGCAAGACAGCATGACTCAAAGTCTCATTAAAGCCCATGTTCTTGGAGGCATTGGAGCAGTGGAGAGGCTCTTCATCAGTGATGAATGTTTAACAACTGACTCTGCAGGGAAGGGAAGGGATTATGATTTATAGGTTTGCCCATTCCTGTGGTGTAAATACACTGTGACTGATTCAAGTTAAAATGTAATAGCACTGAGCATTTCCTTTTTTTTTTTTTTTTTGAAACGGAGTTTCGCTCTTGTTACCCAGGCTGGAGTGCAATGGCGTGTTCTCAGCTCACCGCAACCTCCGTCTCCTGGGTTCAGGCAATTCTCTTGCCTCAGCCTCCTGAGTAGCTGGGATTACAGGCACGCACCACCATGCCCAGCTGATTTTTTGTATTTTTAGTAGAGACGGGGTTTCACCATGTTGACCAGGATGGTCTCGATCTCTTGACCTCGTGATCCACCCGCCTCGGCCTCCCAAAGTGCTGGGATTACAGGCTTGAGCCACCGCGTCCGGCCCACATTTCCTTTTTTTGAAACGGAGTCTCACTCAGTTGTCCAGGCTGGAGCGCATGGGACTACAGGCATGTGCCACCACACCCAGCAATTTTTTTTTTTTTTTAATTTTTATTTTTAGTAAAGACAAGGTTTCACTATGTTGGCCAGGCTGGTCTCAAACTCCTGACCTCGTGATTTACCCGCCTTGCCCTCCCAAAGTTCTGGGATTACGGTTGTGAGCCACCACACCTAGCTGAGTATTTCCATCACACAGATATAATAGATATAAATCACCTTAAAAGCATAGGTGATTTATATCTATTAACTGTATTTTACAGTAAATACAGTAAAATAATTAGGAAGGGATGAATTTTAAGTGTTTATCATCAATCTTAATATTCACTTAATTTTAAGTTTGTATAATTTTAATCATGGTCACATTTAAAAACTGGTTTGCAAACATTCTGAAAATCTAAAAGTTGGCTCTTGTGGGCCATGATCCACGACAGCTCTTGCGTACCATCATGCTGGTCCTCCTCAGTATGCACCTGTTTCTTGGCAAAGACCTGCTCATATGAATATCAAGCTTCAAATGCAAAGACAACGCCGTTGCTTCCTTGTTGTCTCACATCTCCCCATGGCTACTATCTTGTGCCTCTGCCATACAGCTTCTCCATCATCTATGGTAAGTGAGGTTTTGCAGAGCTTCTGGGAGAATGTCGTTCTCCAGGTTGGAGCCCCCTGTGTTGGACACATGCTTTTATTCTTCAGTGATTATCTTGATCTCACATCCTTATATTCTCCTCCGATGTGTTTGTGTTCACTTTCCTGGGAGCCACCTTGGTGCATCAGGCTGTCGGCTTCCATCTGGTCAGTGGGCACTTGTGGAGTACGTACAGGGTGCTCCCTCCTGCTCTTTGTGTTTTTGATGCCAGGTCCTGTGCTCTGACATCCGTTTTCTCATTTGGCCCTTAGAGCAGCTCTGCTGGATGAGCCTTATTTTTTCAACATTTCACATGAGGAAACTGGCCCAGAGAGGGGAAGTGACTTGTCACAGTCCATAAGTCATGTTTTCAGCAAAGCGTTGCCTTTGATATGTAATGTGCAGGCAAGCATCTATCACCTCTCAGCAGGCTGCTGCTGGTTGTGGATTCAGTCTGCTCAGGTCTGCTCCCTGGGAACATCTATGACCCCGTCTCATTGCCTTGCACCCCTCTGTGCCTGCTAGAGCCTAGTTCCTGGCTCCTAAAGGAGAAAAGCCATTTGGAGGCAAGTGTGGTCCTTCCCATTGCAGGAGGTTTTTTTTTTTTTGAGATAGAGTCTCACTGTCGCCCAGGCTGGAGTGCAATGGTGTGATCTCAGCTCACTACGACTATCGCCTCCCTGGTTCAAGCGATTCTCCTTGAATGAGTCTCCTTCAAGCGAGCCACCAGGGTAGCTGAGATTACAGGGATCTGCCACCACACCTGGCTATTTTTTGTATTTTTAGTAGAGATGGGGGTTCGCCATGTTGGCCAGGCTGCTCTCAAACTCCTGACCTCAGGTCATCTGCTCACCTCCTCCCAAAGTGCTGGGATTACAGGCATGAGTCACCCAGCCCGGCCTGCAGGAGTTCTTAACACCTGTGCAGAGAAGTCTGAGCACCTTGCAACTGAGCAGCAGATGTGTCTCATGAAGGGAAGGCAGTTTTAGCTATGGAGCAAATGCTGAGTGCCAAGCTGGAGGAGGTGGGACAAGAAGAAGGTGAGAATGGAAGGATCACGGAAGTCTGTTTCTCAGAAGACCTGGATTCAAGTCTAAGTTCTCCATATTTATTAGCTTTGCAGCCTTGGGCAAATCATTAAGGCTCTGAGCTGTTTGCTCCTTTGTGGAATGAGGGAGATAATGATAGTGGCTGTTTGTTGAGGGCTCTCTGCAAATTACAAATTACATGCCGCAGTTAGCGTGTACTAAACATTATGCTCAAGGTAATTCCCGTAAAAGACTGAACCCAGTGCCAGAAACACGGTCAATGTACAATAAATGCCGGCTGCTATTATTTTGTTGATCCTCATAACAATCCCCTGCTTCATAATGACCACAGAAATAATAATAGTTACTAGCATTTACAGAGCACTTTCTATGCAGCCAGCCATTGTTTTCAGGGCTCTAGGTGAATTAACTTATTTAATTTCCCAGCTATCCCCTGAGGTTCATTCTATTTTTAACCCCATTTGATGTGTGAGAAAATTGAAGCACAATTAAGTTAAATGCGTTGCCCAAGACTCACGGCTAGAAATTGACAAACAGCTGGAAAGCAGAGGAGATATTCTTATTGCTGCCCATTTCACAAGGATGGTAACTAAGGCACAGAGAGGCTGAGCAGCGTGCCCAGGGTCAGGGTCGGGAGAACTCTCCTCTGGGTTGCTGGGCAGATGAAATGACATAATGGATGGGAAATGGCTTTGTGAACTGTCCTTCCGTTTGTGTTTAGCCGGCAGTAAGATTTGCATGTTCTGTTTTTTCTGGTCTAGTTGCATCCACTCGTCTGAGACCCAGGGGGCTTTAGAAGGACCTGCCTGGACTTGGCTTATCATTGGATGGGTGCTTTGTGTATAGGGTCCTGGACTTATATCCCCTTGGGACAGCCTAGGAGCTGTGGCTTGTCTGACTTCAAAGCCGTTGCCAGCTGGGAGGCTTTGAGAGGAGCCAGCTGGCAGCTGGCCACCATCATGTGCAGCTGAGGTTACCAGCGGCCACCCTCCCACCTTCCTCCAGCCACACTCACCGTCTCCAGTGGCTGATTCTCAGACACTCCCAGGACAGCAGGCAGCCATGCTGGGGGAAGAGCAGCTCAAGGCCCCTAGTGGAGTGGAGCTAATCAGGGTACAAGGAAACCTCTTTTTGCTCCCTTCCCCATTATGCTTCTGGCAAACCCCTCTCCCACAGGGCTCTTCAGGCATGACACCCTAGAAATCCCTGGGTGCGTTCCTTTTTCCCAGGTATCTACTTTCCAAAATGGAGTGGGGAGTGCTGTTGTGTCTTTGTGGAGGGGTCAGTGTTACATGCTTCTAGGGCTGTCTCCTCACCTCACTGGGAGGTCCTCTAGCAGGAACAGGGTCTCCCATCTCCTGAACCAGCATCAGGCAGCCCTGGGAAGGTGTTTGTTATTGTCACATTTCTGGAGGGAAGGTCAATCCAGCTATCGGGCTGGAACTTGGGTGCTATGTGTGGTGATGGTGATGGTGGCAGCTGATGTGTGTCCGGAGGAGGTAGAAAGCTTGGTAGGGGAAGGGAACCAGGGGCTGAGATCCCTAGGATCTCACCTGCTGGTATCTCAGGAAGGGCTTGTGCTCCATACACACATGGACGTGGCCTTGACTCCTGGCCTCATCACTCACTATCTGAATGAGAAAGTGCTCATCTTGTGCGATTCTTCCCCTGGGCCTCTTTGTTTATGAAGGGAATGGGGGAAGGTGAAAACCAGACTTCAGTTTGGTTTCTCTCTGGTGGTAATGACTAAGCCCTCTTTCTTCCTGATTAATCGTAGGCAAATGTCTGTACAAGAATTATTTTCTTATGATGATCTGTGATCTGGTGTAACATGAAATTTCTCCAATTAAAATGACTTTGACTCTCAATGTTGTGAAATATTGACCTTGACATTATTGTGCTAACAGTACATGCTCCTACTCTCAGAGCCTATTTTCACCTCGAAGGGACTCTGAGTCCATCAAGATGAACTAAACTTTCCAGTATATCAGCTCCATGATCCCCAGATCTTCCCTGAGAGGAGCTGGGGGTGAGGTTGAGAATCTCAATTCATCTAGCCACAAATGTTTGTTCCTTTCACTCCCTTAAAGAATTTTACACTTCAGGAATCACTTCCACATGATTTATGTGACATCTTTAAAACATATGTCTGAAGTAAGTATTCTCCCCCGTCATCAAAGTGTAGATAGCAAAGCTAAGACTGAGAAGGTAACTGAATTGCCTGCAGTCGCACAACCATTGAGCCGCTTCGAATTCCTCACGGTGCCTTCTGTGCCCTCTTCTCTCAGCTCAGCTGCATCCGTCTCTGGCTGCAGTGCCAGCTGCTTCAATCTCTTCTCTCTGTGGGAGGCCGCAAGCCACCAGCCATCAGCCAGGAGCAGAAGTGTTAAACATTTTCCAGCTGCAGCTGGGCAGAGCTCAGGGAGTGGGGGTCCTCCACTGCAGCCGACAAGGATGGGGAGAAGCAAATATCCTGCAGGTTAGGAGCCCATCAAGTCACCACAGGGCAGCTTAGGAGGACCAGAAGGAATCAATCCATCAGCTGTGCCCAAATGCCTCACCTCCCAGCAGAAGGCCACACCATCCACCAGTGAAACCTGCTGCAATCTTGACCTTTGAATCCTCACTGCGATCCTGTATCCTCTTGGCTCACCCGCCCCGCCTCTGCCAATCAATCACTAGGTGGTGTCCAGTCTATTTCTGATATAGCTCCCTAATTTTTCCCCTCCTCTCCATCTCCAGCCAGCACTCTGGAACTGCATCTCCCCTCCCCAGTCCACAGCACTCTGCCTCCGGGTTCTCTCCCCTCTTCCAACCTATCTGTCCTCAAGGGAGTTCTTGCAGTGATTTTTGGAAAGAAAAAAGTGTAGGTTGGGCGTGATGGCTCACACCTGTAATCCCAGCACTTTGGGATGCTGAGGCGGGTGGATCACTTGAGATCAGGAGTTCGAGACCAGCCTGGCCAACATGGTGAAACCCTGTCTCTATTAAAAATACAAAATTAGTGGGGAGTGGTGGCGTGTGCCTATAATCCCAGTTCCTCGGGATGCTGAGGCAGGAGAATCCCTGGAACCTGGGAGGTGGATGTTGTTGTGAGATTGTGCCAGCAACAGAGCAAGACTCCATCTCAAAAAAAGAAGAAAAAGTACAAATCTGCTTGTGTTACCCTTCAAAATCCTTTACCGTTTCCTCATTGCTTTCCAAATGCAGTGACAGTCCCTTAGCTGATGCACTCCACTTTCAGCCTGCCCCGTTGCTCTCTAGCCTGATTCCTCATGTGCACGTTCTACTCTAACGTTCTACAATTTCCTAAGTGCTGTGGGTTGTGCCATCTCTCCTCTTGTCGTGGGTAACTCCTGTTCCTCATTCAGATGTCTTTTCCTCTGGAAAATCTTCTACTTGATGCTTCCTCCAAGATTGGCTTAGGGGTCCCTCCGCAGGGCCCTCTGTTTATCCCTATAGTAGAACTAATACTGGAATTTCCTCTTCCCAGGTGTAATGAAGTAAAAACAAAATTTGATCAAACAGCTGGCACTGTGAGTTTGATACTGGAAGACACTATGGTAGAAATGCCTTGAGAATCTGCCTGGGTTGAATGTAAGGTCCAGAGAACAGGAACCAAGGCAGCAAAAGATGCTGAGCAAACTGCTCGGAGTGAGACAAGAAGAAAAAGAAGGGGACAGTAGGAAAAGCTGGGAGATGGTGTATAGGACCCTGTGGAATGAAGGGCCAGTGGAGACAGGCCACATGTTTAGTGTCAAGCTTGTTTGTTTCAAGTGAGGCAAACCACGTTGACCTCCTCTCCCCTAGATCTCTCAAACTTCAGTAAAGCCTGAAATATGCGCGAATCATTATATGAATGGGTTTATGTGTTTATGCCTGTGGAGAGGGGAAGTTTGTGGAAGTATTATAAGAACAACAGGTTCATATGCCCACTGTGCAGTACCAGACCAATTATACTGAGACAGCAGGGTTTGCAGCACAGAAAGAGTTTAATGATTACCGGGCTCTGAGGGAGGAGATGTGGGGGAGACCCTCAAATCCACCCCCCCCCCCCACAGCCGCCAAGGAGTTCTCGGCTGGGGTTTTGAAGGGTCATGGAAAGTGAGAGGCTTAAAAATTGGGGTAATAGGCTGCACATGGTGGCTCATGCCTGTAATCTCAGCACTTTGGGAGGCTGAAGTGGGCAGATCACTTGAGGTCAGGAGTTCAAGACCTGCCAGACCAACATGGTGAAACTCCATCTGTATTAAAAATACAAAAATTAGCTGGATGTAGTGGCACATTCCTGTAATCCTAGATACTCAGGAGGCTGAGGCAGGAGAATCCTCTGAACCCAGGAGGCAGAGGTTGCAGTGAGCTGAGATTGTGCCACTGCACTCCAGCCTGGATGATAGAACAAAACTCCATCTCAAAAAAAAAAACAAAAGGAAAAGAAAGAAACTGCATTTTTGATGAGTCAGCTCCTCATGGGGTCCTTCAGATCAGCTGATACCAGTAGTTCCACTGGCATCCAGGACCTGAACGGATATTTCAAAGGGAAAACTTAACATTTCATAATGTTGAAGTTGTTATCTACAGAGCAGTTGAAGGAAACTATAATCTTATAACAGGATCTACTTGATTCGAGGACAATAGGCAACAAATAATGTGGAAAGGGGCCGGAGCAAGGTACCTACTGATTACTGTTGAATGTGCTGTAGTAGTGGTTTATTTTTATTTCCCCTTCTCCTTCTTACATGATCAATTTTATAAAGTTTATAAGGACAGTTTGCGTCTGCCCTGAGCTTGATCATACCTCAATCCGGAGGTGAGAACAAATATAGTGGGAATTGGCTGAAGATCACTCTAGCTTCTTCTGGCTAGCAAGGGGCAGCATAGACCACGTAATAGGAATGGAGGAGTGAAACTGCCTGGCAGTAACCTGTAAGTATTCATGAGTTCCTGGTTGGGAATTTCAGGGGTACAGCATGAACACATTAGTGCTCCTGTCCACTGACTTAGCATGGGGCATATTTAATTGCTAACCAGACTGGCCCGGCATGGTGGCTCACGCCTGTAATTTCAGCACTTTGGGAGGTCAACACGGACAGATCATCTGAGGCCAGGAGTTCAAGAACAGCCTGGCCAACATGGTGAAACCCTGTCTGTACTAAAAATACAAAAAAAAAAAAAAAAAAAAAAAAAAAAAATAGCTGGGCGTGGTAGCAGGCACCCATAATCCCAGCTACTCAGGAGCCTAAGGCTGGAGAATTGCTTGAACCCAGGAGGTGGAGGTTGCTGTGAGCCACCACTCCCGGCTAATTTTGTATTTTTAGTAGAGACGGAGTGTCTCCATGTTCGTCAGGCTAGTCTCAAATTCCTGACCTCAGGTGATCCTCCTGCCTCGGCCTCCCAAAGTGCTGGGATTACAGGCGTGAGCCACTGCACCTGGCCAGGAACTCAGTTTTAAGGGTTTTGGGGTGGACTGTGTCCCCTTGGCCACAAGGGGGCCCATTCAGTCAGTGGAGGGGGGGCTTAGGATTTTCTTTTTTGGTTTACATTCCCCCACTTTTTGGTCAAAATTTGCCAGAGACACACAGTATCTATGGCTCCAGTTTTGTTTTATATCATTTCTGGGGTGGTATGGCTACCTTCTGCAGGTCGGTTCAGTCCATTGATGGGGCCCCTATGGCCAAGGGACTTAGAGCCAAAAGGCTTATAGCCACTTAAACATTCCAGGCCAGATGGGATGGAAGTCGGAAGGCACTTATTAATCCTTAAAAACCTTTTGAGCAATATAAGAGCCAAAAACCAAAAGCCAAAAAGTAAGGTTACAGGATGGACTTATCAGCCAGGTGCAGTGGCTCACGTCTGTAATCGTAGCACTTTGGGAGGTGGAGGCGGACAGATCACCTGATGTCAGGAGTTTGAGACCAGCCTGGCCATCATGGAGAAACCTCATCTCTACTAAAAGTACAAAAAACATTTAGCCAGGCATGGTGGTATATGCCTGTAATCTCAGCTACTCAGGAGGCTGAGGCAGGAGAATCATTTGAACCCAGGTGGCAGAGGTTGCAGTGAGCCGAGACCATGCCATTGCACTTTGGCCTAGGCAACACAGTGGGACTCTGTCAAAAACAAACAAACAAACAAACATAAAACAGAATGGACTTATCTATAAGTTGTATGTATTGAGCCATTAACTGTTTAGGCATCTGTGTGCCCATCCTTGATTTGGAGGGTCTGAACTAATTTTATCCCTCAAAACCAGCCCTTACAATTTCACATGCCCACCTCTTCTGTGATTGCTCCTGAGCCTAAAGGGATTCAACAGTTTTAATTCCTGGCCCTATGTCTCATGAAAGCTTTCATTTTGATTGTCACCTTCTCCTGGGTCTGAAGACAAGGCTTTGGTTAACTTAAGTTTGGTATTAGATACTGGTATCAATGTTCAAGATTTAGCAGAGGTCAGTTCCTTTTTCAGATGAGATATGTGTACCCAGGAGTCAAAACCCTGCAACTCAGCACAAAGATTAGGTAATAGCGCCTGATAAGGACCCTTTCAAGGGGGCCAAAGAAAGTCCTTTAACTGACGTCTCTTCCAGTATATGTGATTATCAGGCTGAGGGTGGTGACCCTGGAGTGCCTTTAGTTTGACTGGAAGCTGTAAAAAGATGCTACAACCTTGTGGGGATTAGAAAGATTATCAAAGATATCAAAAGGCTCAAAATTTTTGATCAAAACAGAATCACAGGTCATTGTAAAATAATTATTATTCATTTAAGCAAAGACTTTGAAGGCAATATAGAAATTTACATGGATGCTGGCTGGGCACTATGGCTCACACCTGTAATCCCAGCACTTTGGGAGGCCGAGGCGGGTGGAT